AATGTTTTAACATCTAGAGTTTGAGTAAATTATAGAGTGACATGGAATCGAACATACAACTTCCAAACTCAGTTTTTCTTTCTGTTATCAACTTCATCTTGAAGTAGGTTTTTTAGCTTTTTGTAGCCATTCCTGAAGCTTTTCCTGAAAATGAGAAGGAAAAGATTGTCTACTCTTCCATATTTTCAAAATGTATGTATGCTTAAATAAATGTAGTTGATTTTTACCTTAACATATATTGTAACCAAGTGACCTGACAGAAGACCTTCCTGAGTTTACAATGAATCAGGGTTGTCTGGTATAGAGGTCTAATCAATAAAAGAGAAAAGCTTCTGCACCATGAAGCTGGAAACCAAAAAAAACATATGTCAGTACTTTCAAAGCAAAGAAATCCAAAATTCTCACCATATAAAGTGAATAATCTATAAAATGAGAATGGCTCACATTAGCAGATTAAATTTATCATGATTGTATCAAGATGAACCAATATTAATTCTCTTAGAACAACATCAGCAACCTACAAAACAAAAGAAGTTTTAAAAAAAAGCTTAAAAAAGAGAAAGTAATATTGCAAAACTGATAAAAGATGTAAAGATTTATATACACTTACAGCAGAGTGACTTTCGTTTTCCATACCATCCATACAAGGTTTGAAATACTCTCCTACATAAACTAAGAAAAGAAGAGTGGAGTTTATTTAGTTAACTTTGAGTTGACTATTAAGTAAGAATAGTAGAAAAAAGGGTGATAACATATTATAATTAATTACCAACATTCTTTCCATCACTGTTTATAGTTGTGTCCTTTGAAGCACGGAGAGCTACATGAAGCGCATACCTGTTCTTTCTGCTGTTTATCTGAAGTATCACATTTGTATCAAAAGAGTAATATAGTCAATCCCCAAGTTACTTCCAAATAAATTTATAGGATTACTTACATGCGAAAGTCTTTTATTGGACTATATTAACACTCCTAGTCCTACCAAAAGCTTAGAGTTGGTAATGATTTGCAATTTGTCATCCTGTGTACCCTAATTTTTTGAAGATGTATTTTTAATCTTCGCCTGTAGTAAGTTGATTTACCTGTAATCGAATGCAAAGCACCAAAGTAAATCAACGAAAATTTACAGAAGTCCATGTCGGATTCAACGATTCGTAAATCTAAAATTAAACTCAACACAATGACCAAACTTAATTCAAAACTAGAGTTTTTCTAAAATTTATGAGTGATTTGGGAAATTGGCTAAGATTAGGATCAAGGTTCGATTTAGGATTAGTAATAGAGAAAAAAAAAACCTGGAGAAGCGCGTATGGAACTGAATGGTTGAAATTCTTAGCAACCTAACCTCGGGGATTGACGCTTGTATCGTTTTTGGAACCTTCAATCATTTTGGATCTGCCGATTTTAGTTGTTTGCTGCTACCCACCGTTCTTGCTTTTGTTGTGCGTTTTCGTTTTAGTAATTTTTGTAATTACTAAAAGTTTTCAAAGTGAACCAGACCACCAATAGAACCGCCGCTGCTACCCTATCAGGTGATCGACACCGCTGTTCTGCGAGGGTTTGGCGAGGGTCAAGAAAAAAAGGCCTCTAATTTTTGCAATCGGTCGTTGTTCCCTTGCTAGGAGGTTTTACTTCCCGACGGTTAAGCGATGGAGGATTTTTTGTCGATAAAATCTTAGATAATCCGTCGTTGATCCCTCAATAATACCTTTCTAAAATAATATAATTATTTTGATCGAAATATTTGTGGGATCCGTCGCTGATCCCTCAGTAAACTGTCACTGATTAGCTACAGATAGAATCTGTTCAAAATTTTGTTACTGTAGGTCATGTTTCTAGTAGTGTATGTAACATCCATGAAAATCATGCCAAATTTAAACTTTTTAAAACATTTTCAAAACCAAGATTATTACAAAACATGTTTCCAAAATAGTATAATATTAGAGTATCCCATAATCAAATCATAAAACATGAAATATGAGGAGCTGTACGATCACGCCTTCGCCTTCCTACGATCATCAGAAGTACCTGAAACAATAATCGATAAATGTAAGCTCGAAGGCTTAGTGAGTTAACCCCAAAATACCAACGCCATACAGATATAACCATATCATATAAACATATAAGCAAACAGCATGCATAATGAGTCATCAGTCTGACTGGACCGACTCCTGGTCCTCAGTCTATCTGGACCTCTCTCCGAGCCCTCGGCACGTCGGGACCACCCTCCTTCGGGCCTTCAGCCTATCCGGACCACTCACTAGGCCTTCGGCCTGACTAGATTTGCCCGACCCGGGCCTGCAGTCTACCTGGTCCGCCCAGGGTGTCTTGGCCTACTGCACACAGCAGGACCTGCGTCAACGCTCTCTCCACACCAACAAACTGTTGGATTAGGTGTCTAAGCCCATTACTATAATTGATATGTACTTGACCCGAGAGTAGCATGGTCTATTTGGGTTGCATATCATCAGGACAATTTGTTAGGATGGACTTTTGAGAAGAGGTTATTTATGGTTTAGTAATATATTATAAGTTCTAATATATTAATATGAAATCATATGATTTAATTAGTATTGATCAAGAATTAGTTTGGAATTAATTTAGTGATCAAAAGAGACTAATTAAATCAATGGGGACTAATTGTGTAAATTAGTTATATTTATATGTTGGGCTTATGATCCATGTTGGACTAAGTTTATGTATAGATACATAAAGAGTTGGCCCACATGAACCATGGATCATAAACCCATGGGTATGGGTTAGGGTTAACCCATGACCTTTGAAATCCTACATATAAATATGTGACTCATAGCTAAGGGTTGGGTGGGTCATTTTTCGGTGAGACAACTAATCATGGCAACCATCCTATAACCAGGATACCGATCTAACCGATCTCTAACATAGCAACCATCCTATAACAAGGATACTGATCTAACCGATCTCTAACATAGCAACCATCCTATACCCAAGATATATATATCATAAAGCATAACGTGTAATAAACCCGAATACAAATCCGAAAGGGTCCAGCATTGGTGCCTTAGACCCTGTTGATATAGTGAGGAGAACTCACCTCGTAAGTGGTGCTGAAATGAACTGAAAGTCTCCGATCGTTGTCTCACCGAAAATCGCGAACTATCCAATTAATAAACACTATGTCAATACATGGAATATCAATCTTGACTAAGGGCCCACATAATCCATTTTTTCCTTTCTCTTTATTGGGCCAAGGCCCAATTTCCAAATCCATGATCTTAAAAGCCCATATATCCAAAGCCCATTAATGGCCCAAATTTCTTGATTTGGGCCTAACTTCCTAATTGGGCCTTATTATAGGATCCCTTATCAAAACAGGCCCAATCTCAATTATTCAGAGGGCCCAACAAGGCCCAAGTCCAGTTAGTCCAAAAACGGCCCGATCCCGAAGCCCAATTTGTTAAAAGCCCAACAGAGGACGTACGCGGAGCGTACTCCTCTGGTACGCTGGGCGTACTCTTCCTAACGTTGACCACCATCGGGGTGGTTGACCCAGTACGCTGAGCGTACAGAATTTACGCGGGGAGTACGCGGGGTTTTGCCAAAACCCTAATAAGTGCTTAATGGCTTAAGCACTTAAGTCCAAACTCCGGATCCATCAACCAAAAGTGCCTTAGAAGCATAAAGTCTTGAACTTTAAGAATTTGGACGTCCATAAAGTTTTTAACACATGGTCTTAATCCATTAAGACCTTCCTACTCCATGCATGAGATGCATTTAGCTATTTGGTCAGCATTTTTATCACTTAGTACCTCATCATGGGTCTGAAAGGACATCTTATCTCGTCCAAATCACATCATGCAGCAACTTAGGACTTTTGGGACAAGAAATGGTTCCATAAGCTAGCATGGCAAGATCTATATCATACAAGCATAAAGTTTAAAGCTTTTTACCATCTGGAACTTCTAGGGCGCCAAACAACTTCAGATCTACCAGCTTGTTCTCCTTCTCCAACTTCTTGATGCAACACTTTCTTCTCCAACTACTCAAAACACACTCTATAAGCTCACACACTTAAGGAAAGGATTAGGGTTTGGGGAAAACGGCTCTAAACTATGGAGGCTGAGGTAAGGGAGGGTTATGAGCTCATAAGGATGTTTATATAGCACTCAAACCCTAAATATTAGGGTTTCCTCCTGACGTGAGTACGCTTAGCATACATAAGTGTACGCCTAGCGTACTAAGGCGCGCCTAGTATGCTTAGCGTACCTTATGCACGCTTAGCGTACTAGCCTTGTTTTCAAAGTTGCAAATTTAGCCCTTAGGCTTCTCATGGGTCGACTCTTCTAACCCCAGGGACTACAAATGACAAAATAATAATAGAAGATAGGATTCGGAAATACCTGCAAAATCTCGTGATGTTACAACTCTCCCCCACTTGACCTAGACTTCGTGCTCGAAGTCTGCTGTAGTAAACAGATCCGGATAATGCTCCCGCATCTCAGACTTTGGCTCCCAAGTCTACTCGGACAATTTCCGACGCCGCCACTGCACCTTTACAAGTGGTATTTCCATGTTGTGTAGAACCTTTATCTTCCTCCCAAATACAACCACTGGCTTCTCGACGTAGTTCAGGCGCTCATCATCCCGAAGATCACCCAATGATGCCAAGGCTTCCTCGCCCGACACGCACTTTTGCAACTGCTAGATATAGGAAGTGCTATGAAGCTGACTGAGCTCCTTCGGGAGACCCAGTCCATACGCTGCCTTTCCAAACTTGGCAAGACCCGAAATGGCCCGATCTATCGAAACCCAATTTCCCTTCTTCCTGAAGCGGATCACACCGTGAAAATCTGGAGTCCTTCTCAGGACACACTCATGGATCATACGCGGCTGCCGATAATTTCTCTATGGGAGAAGATATTACATATTCTTTCACAGGAACGCATTCGATAACCAAATTTTTTAGAGATAACACGGACTACGGAAGGCAACTAGGAGTGACCCCTTATTGTGCTGACAGTATAAAGCTTCCTTTAGCTCCCAAATCTACATATAGTAACAGTCAACTGCTAATCCCATAACCACAACACTTGTGACTGGCCCGATCAACCTTGGGCTGGAATATCAATATGTCGAATCCGATCAACCGTCGGATTGAAATCCTCAGGGTTTGTCGGCCTACCGCCTCAACCCTACCGCTCCTCCTGGCCTTCGTGCCTACGACTTATAGTCGGCTCGCACCGGGTATGTTGGCTTACTCCAATTCTCCCCCACTTGGGACACTAACTACCACCCACTTGTTAGAGATCAACTCAAGCATAGCAGAAAGTCGACCCGGGATATGACTTTCGCAATACAGCAACATTCCAACAAAATAAAATTTCCCAAATTCACCCCGGAGAATACAGGATATGTTAGACTCTCAAGAACATTCGAAGAAATCCCGACTTCTTCCTCCTAGGTTTCCTTGAACATCCTAAGGGTACGCAGGAAAACACCCCCTTCGATCCCAGGTGACATGAACTGATCCCTGTTTGCAATCCAACTGATAGTCCGACACCCGGCCTACCTAAGAATAAGGTACCTACTTGTCTCGCAAGATGCTCACGCCACATCAACTCTCATGCACTTACTAGCACTTAAATACTGCTACCAACCCTTGTGACCAGCGGACCCGAGCTGGAAATATAACCTGACCCTGGGGTCACAAGCCTGTTCACTCCTATGATCTCAGGAAAAATTGAAAGGGTACAACCCTTGCCATAGATGATAAAATGTTAATCAACCATTCTACTTCCCATCCTCTAATGAATCCCTGAACTCTAACTACCTACAATCCTTTGATAATAAAATTCTCATGACACCTCCAATGACCTAACAACTCATGAAGCTCTGCAACACGTAGATCATACAAAACAGGCAACTAACCCGAAATTATTTTTTATCCATACTCAAAAATATTCCAACAGAAAATAAATACCGATCAAAGATGATTTAACCATAATATTATTCCAGAATGGGGGTTTCCAATTACGTACCAGAGACTTCTTGCGGCTCGACTTTGACCTCCTGAGGAATGATGACCGCTGGAATCTGAATTCCTTCCGCCCTCAACGCAGGACAGTTGGACCTGAAATGACCTGGCTAGTGACAATGAAAGCATATCTGATCCTTCTAGAAATCCCGTTGCACATGCTCTCTCTCCCCGCACTTGTAGCACCTGAACTCGTGACAAGCAAATCCGTGGGTTCCCCCACACTTGCCACACACCTCCTGACCCTCCTGACTTCCAGTACCTAGGTCAGCAACCTCCAACCCTTCGTCATCTGCTTAAAAATCCCTCCTCCTCTTTCCTAGTTATGACCCCACCACCGGCACGCCCCCAGTAGTCATCCCGGTAGCAACATCTCTCACAGATTGCAAGGCTGCAACTTGCTCCTCGAACTTGGCGATCACCCTGGCGGTGACCCGGTCCACGACACCGAACAATTCTTCTCGCAAAATCTGAGAAACCTCCACGGGAATCATCTCCTGTATCTGATCAACGGACAATACTGGCCTATCGTGGCCACTGGCTCCCGATCCTGATCCGGATTCCGCCTTAAATCATTTCGCCATCACCATATTGAACATATACCAGAAAGATATCAGATAATATGCATAAATGACGGGAAACCAACTCCCAACCAAACCCTCGGGGTTGTGAATTCCTTGCTACGCGTATGGGTCCTATGCTTTCAGTAGTACGGGCCCATACTACCTTCCACGCCTACCCATATTTGTCTCAAGTATCATCACAATGCCCTAACAATATATACACGAACATAGCGAGTGCTCAATCCTCACTCCTAGAGGACTGATAAATATCTCATACTGGCCTACCGCCTTCGCACAACCCACCCATCCACCAACTGCCACACGACCCTCCATTGGTGGCAGCTAACTATTGCATGAATACAATCACATACCGCACGACTTAAACAATCTTAGACAAAAAGATTTAATCCCACAACGGTTGGACTCAGACAAGAGCTGCGCAGCAGGACCAAATTCCTTACCCTAAGACTATTTAACCCACGTAGCATGTGACTTGGAGTATTCACCCAATAGTTAATTCACACACGAAAGAGTCCTACAACAATCAATGAGGTACTCTACATAAGATAAGGCATCAAAGATTCAGACAATTCTATCATACGATTCCTGAGGATCCCTATCTTATCACTAGCATGCTGTTCTAAAATATCCCAAAATAAACAATCCGCTAGGTATTTTGGGGTCTATTCACGAGCTCCGGATGATCGTACACTTGCATCCTACTTTATTATTTTGAAAACAATTCGGAAAATCATTTTAAAATTCTTGTCCTTAGTTTGAGACTGGAGGCACACAAGTGTTTCCTCCGATTCACTCAAACCAAGGCTCTGATACCAACTTGTAACATCCATGAAAATCATGCCAAATTTAAACTTTTTAAAACATTTTCAAAACCAATATTACTACAAAACATGTTTCCAAAATAGTATAATATCAGAGTATCCCAGAATCAAATCATAAAACATGAAATATGAGGAGTTATACGATCACACCTTCGCCTTCCCGCAATCATCAGAAGTACCTGAAACAATAATCGATAAATGTAAGCTCGAAGAATTAGTGAGTTACCCCCAAAATACCAACTCCATACAGATATAACCATATCATATAAACATAAAAGCAAACAACATACAGAATGAGCCATCAGTCTGACTGGACCGACTCCTGATCCTCAGTCTATCTGGACCACTCTCCGAGCCCTCAACACGTCTGGACCGCCCTCCTCGGGGCCTTCAGCCTATCCGGACCACTCACTGGGCCTTCGTCCTGACTAGATTTACCCGGCCCAGGCCTGCAATCTACTCGGTCTTCCCAGGGTGTCTTGGTCTACTGGACACAGCAGAACCTGCCTCAACCTTTTCTCCATACCAACAAACATGTGCACATACTATCATATAAACATATAAACATGCAAATCTAACAGATCACTAATCATGGCAACCATCCTATAACCAGGATACCGATCTAACCGATCTCTAACATAGCAACCATCCTATAACCATGATACTGATTCAACCGATCTCTAACATAGCAACCATCCTACACCCAGGATATATATATATATATATCTATATATATATATATAGATATATATATATATATATATATCTATATATCTATATAACATAAAGATACGTGTACATTAAACCCGGATACAAATCCGAAAAGGGCCGGTATTGGTGCCATATAACCTGTTGATATAGTGAGGAGAACTCACCTCGTAAGTGGTGCTGATATGAACTAAAAGTTTCCGATCGCTGCCTCACCGAAAATCCCGAACTATCCAATTAATAACTACTATGCCAATACATGGAATATCAATCTTGACTAAGGGTCCACATAATCCATTTTATCCTTTCTCTTTATTGGGCCAAGGCCAATTGCCAAATCCATGATTTTAAAAGCCCATATATCCAAAGCCCATTAATGGCCCAAATTTCCCAATTTGGGCCTAACTTCCTAATTGGGCCTTATTATAGGACCCCTTATCAAAACTGGCCCAATCTCAATTATTCAGAGGGCCCAACAATGCCCAAGTCCAGTTATTCAAAAAGCGGCCCAATCCTGAAACCAAATTTGTCAAAATCCCTACAAAGGACGTACGCAGAGCGTACTCCTTTGGTACGCTGGGCGTACTCTTCCTGACGTTGACCACCATCGGGGTGGTTGACCCAGTACGCTGGGCGTACAGAATTTGCGCGGGGCGTACACGGGGTTTTGCCAAAACCCTAATAAGTGCTTAATGACTTAAGCACTTAAGTCCAAACTCCAGATCCATCGGCCAAAGTACCTTAGAACCATAAAGGCTTGAACTTTAAGAATTTGGACGTCCAGAAAGTTCTTAACACATGGTCTTAATCCATTAAGACCTTCCTACTCCATGCATGAGATGCATTTAGCTATTGGGACATCATTTTTATCACTTAGGACCTCTTCTCAGGGTCTGAAAAGGACAGTTTATTCGTCCAAATCACATCACGCACCAACTTGGGACTTTTGGGACAAGAAATGGTTCCATAAAGCTAGCATGGCAAGATCTATATCATACAACCATAAAGTTTGAAGCTTTTTACCTTCTGGAGCTTCTAGGGCGCCAAACTGTTAAATTAATGTCTAAGTCCATAACTATAATTGGTAAGACTTGACCCGACCCGGCATGGTCCATTTGGGTTGCATGGCATCATGCATTTAGATAGACTATAATGAGAGAAATAACACTTAAGGTTGGTTAATATATTATAAGTTCTAATATATTAATAAGGTTATTTAATTAGTATTGATCAAGAATTAATTTGGAATTAATTAAGTGATCAAAAGGAGACTAATTAAATATATGGGTGATTGTGATTTGTAAATCATTCATTCTTATATATGTGGGCTTGTGATCCAAGATTCCTTATGTTGGACTAAGTCCATGGGGTGACCCATGGATACTCCATGGAGGTTAAAACCCATGGAGCATAAGGAATGGGTAAAGTTATGAGTTACATGGTGTAACCCTAGTAGCCACCATATAAAAGAATCCCATGGCTCAAGAAATCGTGCACTAATGTGTGAGTGTGAGGGCTAGACGATTTCAAGGAGTGTTCAAGTTTCTCTCAAGTTATTCCAAGTGTATTTGGTGTTGTGTGAACCATTTGAGGTGTCACACTTGGGGCACTAGGCACTCAAGCTTCATGAAGACATTCTACATCAAAGAGGTATGTATTCTATCTTGTTATATTTATTATTTGTATGCTAGATTAGGATAATACCTTGGATGTCATAATTGTATGTATAATAGAGAAAACATAGATCCCAGGTATTTAGGGTTGCATGTACACTTAGGAGTGTTAGAATGCTCATAACCCAACAGTGGTATCAGAGCCTAGGCTTGTTTTCTTGTTATACTTGCAAAAGTAGCTGAAAAATCGAGTTGGATGCATATATTCGATTGTTTTGGCTGTGGAATTAGACTAGGAACATTACCCTAAGATGTTTTTGGACTTATAACTTGTTTTTGATGTGGTAGGTTAATGTCATGCTAATCCAATTTCTAAGAATTGTCATAATTTCAAGATTTGTATTAGTTTGTATGTTCATGCTAATTTCTTGAAGATTGATGATTTGAATTATCTTGTTCTTATGAGGTTCTTAGATTAATAGAAAAGTTGTGTTGAAATAGTTGTTTTCAATCCATTTTATCTAAGAGTTGATTCCAAAGTGTGTTTTTGTAACTTGTCCTCAAGTTATATGAAAAGTCACATTTAGAATCATAAAACTCATAAA